AAGTCTCTTGCTCGGGTGGGAGCACACCAAGTACATGCCCTTTCTGCTATTGGTTAACACTGGTGAGGAAGGGGGGTGAATGGGGCAGTATGCATAGCTGGTACTCCAGCAGATCTAGAATGGCACCACCTCGTATTTCATTTGGGCTCACATGTCTGTCCAATCACCAACATCTGTTTCTCATCAAGGTCATCGTCATGTGATTGGATTTCTCTTGTAACACAATCTTTGTGTATAACCGCCTATGCCTTTCTATTTGCTAGAAAGTTATTCAAATTTCTGAGGTTAAGGTGATTCTAATTTCTTGTGTGTGAAATATTTGAAGCTGTGATCCGTGACGTGTGCAGGCTATGGCAGGTTATGGAAGTTGGCACTGGCTGGTACTGACTCTCCTCAATATGGCACAGATTCTAATTTACAAGATTTAGCTGATTTATTTCCAATTCTGCACTGCTCAGAAAACCTCTAACCAAAGGGCTAGCCAGGCTAACCTGTCTGTATACTGACAGTGTTCTGTATTCTAGTACTGTAGCTGGTCCATTAGGTTTAGACTTGCGCATTGCCAAAGCTGGCCATACACATAAAGATCTCTCCTGTTCAGCCCAGTATGATAACCGCATGGATTGACAGATTTCCCGCTGCCAGCTATTGTATTTAGACAGCTGACCCCTGTGGCTGTCAAAGTACCCAAATAGTGGCTGCATCTGACAGGCAGCGGTCACTGTTCAGCTAAATGTTTCCCAACTGCTTGCTCTATTTCCCAGGTCTGTGTATGCCAACCTAACGCAGACCATAGACGGGTCGAAAATTGGCTGATTTTTCGAACGATAAACGAAAAATCGGTCAGACAACGTTACCACCAACGGTTTAAAAAATCGGGCCGACTAAATCATAAAGTTCGCCCCATAACTTCTGTCCCTTGTAGGTCACTGCTTATGCGCCATTTGTTTTTATCGTTAAAACGATCGGCCGATTTGGCCATCATTGCCGGGAAAATTGGCCGCAAACTTTCCAACATGACCAATAATCTCAAAGTGCAAAAAAAACCCGAAAAAACAGCCGACCAAGTAACTCGCTAACAGTACGAAAATCTTTTTTTTTTTTTCTGGCCAAAAATTGGCCAATTGTTGAACGTCTATGGCCGGCATAAGGCATATTACACTTGGAGTAATCTGTGTCCCATCTCTGGGTTAAATTGTATCTTAAAGTCAAAACCAAAAATGTAATATATTGCAGCCTATCCTTCCATAAATGTGCTGGGTGCAATAGTGCTTTTTGCCCTTTATTTTCACCTGGCTGTCCTGCTGGTAAAACACACCCCTGTCCTAGGGTAACCACACTCACTTGTGCTGTAGGGCTCCGTGCACGATAGCGGGTTTTTTTTTTTCTTTTTGAAGATCAAAAGCTGGATAAAAAACCACTGGTAATAGCATTTTTTTTAAATGGCGTTCAAAAGCGTTTAGGGGCATTTATTAGTGTTTTTACAGTACATGTAGAGGAAAAAAAAAGCTAGAAAAAAGCGGTTAGGAGTATTATAGTAGCATTAAGCAGCGTTTTAGCATTTTTTTTTATGCTGGAAAAATGCTCCAAAAAACTACAAAAACTATTTTTTTCTGCTTCAAGATGCTGAAGCTCAAAAAATGCTAATGGCCTACATTACATAGACACAGGATAGCACTATTTAGCTTCTAGGAGCAGAAAAGTACTCTGATAACAGCTTCTAGGAACTTAAATAAACGCTAGTGTGCATGGAGCTTGAAGAAGCATTGTCACCCTAGGAGAGGACTACAGAACACCTCATCCTCCCCATAACATACAAGTAAAACATGAGCAGAAAGTTCAGGAATGTATCAGCTGAGAACAATTGGTGAGAGGATCAGGTAGTTTATGCAGAAAACTAACAAATATTAAACACATTCAGAGGTATAATTAACAGACCAAAAGAGAACAAATGAGCCCTCATGCACACTGGATGTTTTTACAGCGGCTGTTTTTGGCAATTCTGACCTTTTTTTTCTACAGCCAGTAAATCCCTCAGCATGTTATCCTATGTGTCCATACACACATAGACTGTAATCAACGTTTTTTGGCTGGAAAAAAAATCCTAGGAATAGTGGGTTAGTAGAGGAGTTTGTTAGCTGTAAAAATATTCTAACGCTGAAAAACGCCGCAAAACAGCATTTTTTGGACTTTTTTTTTTTTTATTTTATTTTGTAAAAAAAAAAACACTAAAAATGCAAACAAAAAATACTGCAAAAATGGTAAAAAATCTGAAAAAAATCATGGTTTTTGCGTGACTTTAAAATAGTATCAAATGAGGACTAAAGGTTTGCATGCAGCGAATAGGGGAGATTTACTAAAACTGAACATAGCTAAATCTGCTGCAGCTGTGTATAGAAACCAATCGGCTTCCAGGTTTTATTGTTGAAACTTATTGAAAAAGCTGAGTTAGAAGCTGATTGGCTGCCATGCACATCTGCACCAGATTCTCAGTGCTCCAGGTTTTAGTAAATCCCCCCAATGTGTCTGCACATTTTTAGGCTTTAGCTGTTTTAGAGCATTGTTCATGGATATTCAAAAATATCCCAAAACGGTGTTTGGAGAGCTGCTTATTGGCATAATTTACTGACATGCATATGTAGATCTATGTTATTTATGTATTTCAGGTACTTGTATAGCTCCGTCAATTTATGTAGCACTTTACATATATATTGTACATTCAATCAGTCCCTAACCCTCAAGGGGGTGTACAATCTAAGGTCCCTAACGTACATTCACATACTAGGGACAATTTAGACAGGAGCCAATTCACCTACCATCATGTCTTTGGAATGTGGGGAGAAAACCGGAGTACCCAGTGGAAACCCACGTAGGCACAGGGAGAACATGCAAACTCCAGGCAGGTGGTGCCGTGGTTGGGATTCATATGTATGCTCATGCATTCATTCTACTGGCTAGAATACATTAATATTCTAGCCAACAGAACGTGTTAATGTTCACATGCTTCTAATGCTGTACATGCAAAGCAATCCTACTGTGCTGTTGTATTATTCAGTATATGTTGTACAATAACTCTCCCAGCTACCCCAGATGTGTACAGTCTAAGGCCTTGTTCACACAGGCGTACTATAGCATATGCCCCTGCGAGGGCCATGTTTGCCCAGACAGGGATGCACAAGTGTTCATGCATCCCCACGCATGCAATCTCATTCATGTCAGGCAGCTGCTCCTAACTGGATGTCTTTGTGGGTGCTCAGGCCCCAGTCCGTGTGCGTTCTGGGCCGTGCACCCACACATGTCAAATCGGGAGCAGCAGCTGCGTCCCATTTGACATGAATAGGACTGCCTGCATAGGGATACATGAACACCTCTGCATCTGTGTGGGCAAACACGGCCCTCACACAGATGTACGCTATAGTAAACCAGGCCTAAATCATGTGATTGTATGTACCTGAGGGGCCATATTACTGCTGTCTGTCTTACCATGGAGCTTTTCCCTTCCTGCTCTTACACCTGGACAGGAAGTGATGATAAATCTACCCCCCTCTCCTGTGGGGATACAGAAAACAAGAACCTGTCAGAGGTTCTAGCCCTTCCCTCATCTATGTCAATTCTTTGACTGTGTCCCTTTTGAGGGTTTTTCTCACTTCTGAGACCCATCGACCCATCGAATGGACAGATCTAGGATTTAATCCTCTTTATTTCGTACATTGGCGCTTTAATATCCTCACCAGAAAAGTTGGTACATAATGGGAAACAAACTCAAATCTCAATAACCTGTTTAACATTTATAAGATTTGTTTTTACAGATGGATTGTCTAAGGACATGTTTTTTGATTGGTTGTAGTTTTTGTAGTTTTTGGGTTGTGAGATATTTCATTACCCTGTAGGGACAGTGGTTCTCAACCTTCCTAATGCCGTGACCCTTTAATACAGTTCCTCATGTTGTGGTGACCCCCAACCATAAAATTATTTACCCAGTAATTTTAATTCATGAAGTGTCGTTTTACCTCCAATACTGCTGCTTTCAACACAGTAGCTGCTTTCTACACAGTAGCTGCTTTCTACACAGTAGCTGCTCTTTACACATTGGAAATATGTGTTTTCCGATAGTCTTAGGTGACCCCTGTGAAAGGGTCGTTCGACCCCCAAAGGGGTCACGACCCACAGGTTGAGAACCACTGCTGTAGGGGGATGCAGAGTATGCAGGTATAGAGCTGGGCCAGCACCGCCACACACGTTAAATGTATATGCTTCCAGGGGAGGGGTGTGTGCCGAGCTGGACTAGGAGTCTGGTACTATTTCCATACTGTAATGTGTACATTTGGGTGTACCTGAGCCAACAACATTGCATTTTATTAGGAATAACACGTAGGAGCAGGCAGATTGTCCTGCCAGATAGCTATCAACTCTCAGATTTATGTATATAATATCTTGGAGCACCTATTACCTTCTCATTCATTCTGGAAGTGACCCGATCACCAGGTGGAAGAATCAAGCCAGCATCTCCCTGAGGAGGAATATTGGAATATTTGCCTATCTGGCAGTGTATAAATCACTGTCAGAACTTGGGGTGCTGTTGCTTTCTGACACTTCAGGGGACTTGGGGAGTGTTTCTCTCACTGGATGCTGTATCTCCGCCTTACTCTAGATAGATTACAAGAGACATCGATTTAATCTTTTTTTTCGCTTGGCGATGGATTCACTTTTGCAGTATTCCACCCATTTTTAGATTTATTCCGATAGAGAACTGAAGCTTGCATGATACAAAATACACTTTGCGAAGAGTTAACTTTGTTTTGAATGCATTGTGACTTGTGTGCAGGTGCTGTGTTTTCTCGATATGTTGCACTTTCCCAATTCCTTGTTGTTGCCTTCTACAAGATTACAGTTAACTAAAATAGTTGTGTATTATATTTTTATAACACATCTAATACCATATTTTATTTTATTTTAGCCATATTGAACAGACCACCACATGGCAAGACCCTCGGAAAGCAATGTTGTCACAGATGAATGTCACTGCCCCCACCAGTCCTCCAGTACAGCCAAACCTAATGAACCCAACAGGTTTGTAGGCACATCATCCTAGCACTGTATGTTTGTATTGTATTCATGTGCACACAACCTATCTGTCCTCAAAGATCATTTAAACTATTGGGAACATGTGACGTGTTCCACCTGTTTTTTTGTGTAACATGTACCCAAATCTGCAGCCGCTTCCCACTCCACCCACATGGCTGCATCATTCATTCTTAGCAGCTGTTGGTTTGTAATTCTCAATGAACTACCGTGGCACCACGGTAGTTCATTGAATCTTTCTGTTAGTATATCTGCTTGCATGTACATCCTGTACGGGCAGGCAGATATTCTGACAGGTCTGCAGGAAACCTGCATGGCACCAGTGATCTATTGATCACTGGTGCAATGCATTACAGGCTCCTGCAACCAAAAATAATAAATGCACATTTTTTTTTTCCTGCAAAAGAAAAGTAGTGGTGCACCAAAATGAAAATTCTTTTACCAAAACCAAAAATTTACAATGCATTTATCCAAAAACCGAAATAGAGGGTTTTTTTTTTTTCATTTTGTTTTTAAATATATAATTGTATTATATTCTACTTCTTAATATCATGAATTTAAATGAATATGAATTAATTTTCAGCAACAAATTGGCCAAAAAAAACACCACAACTCTTCAAAAACCGAGCTCTGCAAAGCAGACAAAAGGCAAACTACATTGTGTGAAGCAGGCCTGAACTGCATTATAAACGCACATGTGTTGCGGTTTTGATGCGTTTTTGCATTTTTTTATTTGCCCAGCAACAAGTTGGCCAAAAACATAAATAAAAAACGCACTGCCTAACAGCCAAAATGTAAACTGCATTGGTGTGAAACAGGCCTGAAATGTTTGGTTTTTTTTAATGTGTTTTGCGCTTCTAGTTTGTCCAACAAAATTTCAAAAACGTGTGTGCAAACGCACTGCAAAATGGACAAAACGCAAACTGCAAATACATTGAAAACCCACACGTGTTGCATTTTGATGTGTTTTTTAAGTCACATGACCTATGAAAAACACACCCTAAACATGGTAAAATCGTGTATTTTTTGGCGGCCATTATCGTTTCCTTTTTTTCTATTGCCAAGATGCCGATAACTCTTTTCGGCTGATACATTTTGGCCGCCGGTATATCTGTGCATCCCTAAAAAAAAAAAAAAGTGCATTTTACTATTTTTGGTCAAAAGGTGAACTTGTCCTTTAAAGCAAACCTAAATTCAGGAGTGATTGATGTCCATGTTAAAGGTTATGTTTCCCTTTCACATGAACTGGCCCATGCAGACAAGAGGGCCTGTAGTCTTAAGGGTACTTGCACATAGTACTGATGCATGAACATCACATTCCTGGCAGAAAATCTCTACATAAAAACCCAAAGATTGACTGTAGTCACGCATTTCCACGCATAGTATTCTTCTAGCTTTTCTTGAGCTGCAGTAAAATACTGTGCAGCAATGCAAACATGTATTTATTTTTTTTCTTAAAACCCTGATCTATACACAAGGCAAGTTGCACCTTTTGTGTACAGGCCCATTAAATGCCATTAATTGCATTTAGATCAGTTAAAAAATAGCCTGAATGCTTAAATACCTACTGTTTGTAAAAATGATGCATAATGCAAATGCCATACCTGGCCTTTTCTGTGACCCATGAATTCTGGCCGAAATACTCCCAACATTTGCACTACTGCATCATGCCTTATTTCCAGGACAAGGTAGATAAGCTCTCAACCCCAGCATGACAGGCGCAATGGCGCTTCTTGGTTTAGATGCCACGCATGCACAGTACTGAGCTCGCTGTAGGGAAAGAGTGTGCTGGGCATGCATGGCTTTTGTATCCGGAAGAACACTTGCTCCTACGATGTTGGGGCTCAGCTGCTAATGTCTGCCGTGTCCTGTAAGTGAGTGTGCGCAGGTATGATATTTGCAGTAAACCAATATTTTTACAAACTGCACAGTGCATTTTCCGCTAGTGGGGCCCATTGTGTGCATGGGCTAGTTTATGTAAATGTACGCTTGTTTTTATGCTAGCACCCTGTATACTTGCACCTGGTCTTATCCATATTTCTTATATCTTCCAACCTGTTTAGTCCATACATCAGCACTAGTGGGAAGTGATGAGGGCAGTGCTACCATCAGGGGTGCAGTTTATTTATCGGTATTTATATAGCACCGATGCTTTACATATATGTTTTGTACATTCACAGCGGTCCCTGCCGTCAAGGAGCTTACAGTCTAAGATCACTATCTCACATTCATACAGACATACTAGGGCCAGTTTAGGTAGGAGCCAGTTCACCTACCAGCATGTCTTGGGAATAGAGAACCTGGAGGAAACCTACACAGGCACAGGGAGATCATGCAAACTGCAGGTTGGGATGTAATCATTTCCTTACAGGGAGTTCTTTATAGGAAATGCTTGCTTTCTTTGCCAGGAATTGGGTGTGTAATTGGGTAGTTCTATCCCCACCTTTAATCCTCCCTGTCTCCCGCTCTTTCATCAGCTCCTGTTTCACAAAGTGCATCTGTCTATTAAATGACAAGAGTGAAAGCAGGACATGACTGGGAAGATTCACACTGTTCTTGTGCAGTGATTGTCTCTGCCTCTTATGCAAATATTGAAGCAACATACTAAGAGGGAGGTGTGGAATCCTGGGATCTGTGGGCAGTAAAGCTTGCAGTGCTGGAACCAAGAGGTTGTAGAGAATCCCAGGACCTACATTTTATTTATTTATTACAGGTACTTATATAGCGCCATCAATTTATGCAGTGCTTTACATATATATTGTACATTCACATCAGTCCCTAACCCTCAAGGGGTGTACAATCTAAGGTCCCTAAGTCACATCATACATACACATACTAGGGCCAATTTAGACCGTATCCAATTCACCTACCAAGCATGTCTTTGGAATGTGGGAGAAAAAACGGAGTACCCGGAGGAAACCCACGCAGGCACAGGGAGAACATGCAAACTCCAGGCAGGTGGTGCCGTGGTCGGGATTTGAACAGACGACCCTAGTACTGCCAGGCGGAACTATTTAGCCACTGTGCATCTTCCCTTTAGCAGCAGCTTGGACATCGTATGGATAAGTCATTAAACGGATACATATATATATATATACTGTTTTAATGTGATTTCAGTGTAAAAAAAATACTTATAGCGCCATCAATTTACTTAGTGCTTTCCATATATATTATACATTCACATCAGTCCCTATCCCTCAATCTAAGGTCCCTAACTCACATTCATACATACACATACTAGGGCCAATTTAGACAGGAGCCAATTCACCTACCAGCATGTCTTTGGAGTGTGGGAGGAAATACCTGGAGGAAACCACGCAGGCACAGAGAACATGCAAACTCCAGGCAGGGGGTGCCGTGGTTGGGATTCGAACTAATGACCCTAGTACTGCCAGGTGGAAGTGCTAACCATTTTGCCACTGTGCTGCCCGTAATTCTGCTTTAAAACCGGTATTCATCAGCCTTTGTTTCGGACTCTGTGCCCAAATGTTAATCTGCAGCTAGGCACTAGAACAGAATGAATGTAGACTATGCTGCTGTTGACTCTTCTGATGAGTTGCTGTAGGTGGCTTGATGAAATGAGTCTAGGTCACGTGATCACAGCACCTCTGCCTAGTGGTGGATGGACAACTTGGTTTAAAGCGCTCCCAAGCGTTGATCCTCTATATTTCCCACTGGTAAAGGATTGCCACGCCCATTGTGAGCCACAGTCACGTGGCAGCAGTTGTAAACGCATGCATGTTTGTTCTCATTTACTCATGGTGTTCCATACAGACCTTTTTGCAGAGATTTCTACTTTGCACAGGAAATGTATGTTTGTAGTAAAATCTGTCTCCATGACCTCCGGCAGAGGTAGTAAAAACTCCCTGCCTACAGCTCCCTTTCTAATTTAGAGAAAACCATCTGGTTTCAGATGACAGCCATAGTTTCAGTCAAGATTGTGAGCATTTCTTAACTCATCTGTTTGGTTTTATCTCCTTCCTTGGAGAGCCTAAAGCTGCTGGTTCTACCCTCCTCAGGTTACAGAATGAAAGGTGGCACTTGATTGGTAGAATCCACACACATTCAGTTTGTTTTTTTTTCGTTTAACCAGCAGGTCGAATTAAAAATTTGACTGTTAAATGCATCAACTGACCACCCCCCTCCCTCCCGGAATACACTGATCAGTTCTAGCAGCCATTGGCTGCAAGTGCTGATCGAATGCTGGTTTTCCAGCACAGCAGTTTAACAAAAGCCAGACTTCTGTGTGAGTGAGAAACTGCAGCAAGGTCAGAGCCCTCCTCATTTTCTAGCTGGAGGACATCCAGCATCATCTAGCCATTTCCTCCCCAGATTTAGGCTGTGTCCACACAGACGCTGTGGCCTGTAGACTGTGAACATTTTTGTTTTTTGCAACCTGTCTAGACCCCAGGTGCTATATGCAGGCAGTAAAAGATAGATTTAGAGGTTCAAATATAAATTACTGTATCACCCAATATATGGCTTCCATCCAGTAGCCAAAACATATGCAGACCAAAAAAGAGATTTGTGAAAAGAGATTTGCAGGAAAGCGGCTACATTATGGACTTAATGCGATACTCAGAAAAATTTCCAAAAATTATGCTTTATTACACATTAATGATTGACACTCGGGCAATCGCCCTGGTTTACCATCACCTCAGTATGAGACCATACACACAGACCTAAAACCATTAAAATCACACCAAGACCGGTCTGGAAAAATGCTGCAGAGGCTATGACCACCATAGTCTAAAGCATTTGCAGCACCGCACAAAGGTTACACTCCCTGTAGGGGGTATTATCAAAAAATTATACCATGGGTATATAATATCACATGCTATGCATATAAGCACATATAGTTACCACATTGGTTACACTCCCTAAAGGAGGTGTTTTCAAAAATTGTACCATAGGTATATAATATCACATGCAAGCATAAAGGCAAATACAGTTATCACCTGGAGAGAAGCATAACCCTAAGCCTATAAAGGCAATGTGGGTAAAAAATTGAAAAAAAGAGGGGGATAAACCCCAATGATATAATAATGGATTCATGCAGTACAACCCTGTAGCGGCACATGTGGTTGGGGCCCATTAATCTGTAATATACATAAATGGTTGCAAAGATTCTTATAGATGAAAGAGTCCCTGTTGGTGTCTTGATGGAGAAATGGATGCAAGTAGCAGAGGCCTGCTTTATATGGTTTCTTCACCACAACATGTGGACTACAAACCACTTTAATATTTGAAATAAGATGAGGCCCAATAGGTCTTCCGCCTGTTGCAATATATGTAGTATGCCTTGCATCTAGATAAAGCATCATAATGCCCCCATCCTGTAATAAGACATTATTATAATAACAATATAGGAATAGTCACTCTGGGTACTCTCACTCTAATATATATGTAGTATAAGTAGCAAGGAACCTTCTTCGTTAATCCTGTAACAGTCCACTCACCACCTGTGCAATGGGTAGTAGAAAAAGGAGATATCCTTCATAGGTACTGCCGTATTAATGTGTAATAAAGCATCATTTTTGGAAATTTTTCTGAGTATCGCATTAAGTCCATAATGTAGCCGCTTTCCTGTGAATCTCTTTTCACAAATCTCTTTTTTGGTCCGCTATATGCAGGCAGCCCATTGAAGTCAATTGCAGATACAGCTGCTCATCCTAATGTGACAGGCGTGCAGGTGTGGGTGTTAGGGCCCCAAGAGCACACTGTTTGCATTCAGTCCGCACACCTCTCACATCTACGATGAGCAACTGTGTCTGTGCATCTGCTGCATCTTAACAGACTTCATTCAGTAGGCTGCCTGGATGTAGCACCTGGAATCGACACTGCAAAACAAAGTCTGTTCACAGTATATGGGCCTCTTCATCCATGTAAAGGAGGATTTACTGTCCCAGACCCATCCCTTTCATTCATTGGATTTCAGTTCTTTCTGTCATGGAGGCTCAGTGTTACTTTGGACAGTCTGCATACAAATACCAACCCATCCAGACAGACCACCTCCCATTGAAGAATTTTTGTTTCTTGCATAACCCCCCCCCCCCCCCAAGAGCCTCTGCTACTTGCCATGATCTACCTGCATTGCACTAAGAAGCATGGGAAGACCGTGATATCACTATGTCTGAAGTAAGGTATGTAATGAAAATGGAAATACAAATTTCACTAGCATGTGGATGAGCAGGCCAGTGCTGCAAGCCCCCGAAGAGTTCTTTGTGGCTCATGTAAAGAGGAAGGTTACTTCCCCATAGGATGAGTATTCAAGAAACAAAGGCAACCCATATCACCCAATCAGAATTCACTTTTCACTGGTATTTAAATCTCATTGATTTGCATGGGATATTACACCTTGTAGATAGTACAGTGCTTTGTGCTGCTTTCCTTAATAAGGCCAACAAAGGGCTTGATGTATGGAAGTCCATGGAAGGAAACATTTCTTACTAGGTGTAGCAATCCATAATCATCCAACTTCTCTTTATTTCAGGTTTGTGAATAAATCAAGTTAGTTGGTTGGTTGCTAGGAACAATAGGATACTTTACCTTTACCACACTTTTCAAACATCAGGCCTGGAGCCATGATTGAATACCTCTCCCACACAGACCTCAATCTGCCAGCTGTGGTTTGCAGTCATTTTTTCTTCAAGAGTTGCACTCAGAGAAATACTACATTTGTGTTATGTAAAATGTTTTGCAGAATTATTTGCTTTCTTCTTTCATCTTTGTTCAGTGTCTCTCCACCTGTTATATCAGACGTTTGTTTCCAACTGAAAATGGCGTAAAGGTTAAGCTAACCTGTCGTACCATGATACACCCATATTCAGGGTGTAACCTGTTACTGTAGTACCGCCCCCTCTATCCCCTGTGACAGCTAGAAAGAATCTTCCCTCCTGCTTGTTATCACAATTTGTAAAAAATGCAGCCGTGCTGTGCTCCGCCCACCCGGCCACATCATTTATTCACACAGTTCTGTGAATGGGAAACTACAAGTCCCAACATCCTTAACGGATGTCGGCTTGTCGGTTTTAATGAACTACCACAGTGCTTTGGTAGTTCATTAATTCTTCCCGTCAGTGTGAACCTGCCTGTATGATGTACAGGCAGACTGATACAATGACAGGTCTGCAGGAGTCCTGCATGGCACCAGCGATCAGCAGATCACTGGTGCAATATTTTCCAGGCTCCTAAAACAATAAAATTGTAAATGCACATATTTATTTTAATTTTTTTTTACCTGCAAAAAAAATGTGCATTTATTTTTTGTTAAACTGTGAACTTGTCCTTTTAAAGTGTTACTAATCCCGTGCCCCTGCATTCACTATATCTGGTCTCACACACAACGTGGAAGTGGAATTATTTTAGTAAATTTTAGATTGTAAGCTCCAAGGAGCAGGGCCCTCCTAACCCTCTTGTATTGAACTGTATTGTTGCTGTATTGTCTCCCACTATATTGTAAAGCATTGTAAACTGCTAAATATCTTTTCTCATCAGCAATTAGCGCAGTCTTGTGACTTCTACCAGTGTCCAGATGAGCAATGGTTAATCTTGTAGGAGTTTTCATTCTGCTCTGACTGTCCTATGGGGTTGCATAGCCCTTGACCCTCTGTCTGGACAGCGCTGATTGACCTTGTGCTGATCACATACACTCCCCCCAAAGAGAAAAAAAAGCCTCTAGCAATACACACTAAACTGAGCATGTGCAGAGTGACTCCTAGAGCTCTGTACTATCAACAGATGGATTGGGGGACAGTAGAAGGGGAGGATCCAACATTACTTTTACACAATGCAGAGGATTAACAATGCGTGTAACAAGCACGCTTTCCTGCATATACAGACTGATTTTACTGTTGTGGAATTAGAAACCCTTTAAGGCCTCACACACACAGGCCTGTGTTTATAGGACATTTCTAAACACAAACGCAATGTAATGATTTTAAATGTTAAAAACTCACGATTTGTGCATTTTTACGTGCTTTTAGGAGCTGTCAGTTTAGTTGCTTGTTTAGAAAAAGTAAAAATCTATGCATCCAGTGAGAGATTAGATGCACTGAACACGTGTAAACACAGGTACATTTAAACTCAGAAGAAAATGAGAATTATCTAGAATAAAACTGGTTTACATTTTTAAATTTCTCAGATCAATTTCTTCTTGATTTAAAGCCCATCTCCAGGATATCCCCCCCCCCCCTTTCTGCTCCACTAACTGATGGCTGGCTTAAAAAAAACCAAACAAACCTCTTCTTACTTGTTCGTATGGCGCTTCAATTTTTTTTTTTTTTGTTCGTTATTTCCACTAGAAATTGTCCTTCTTTGGGTGTCCACATCACTGCCTGTATAACATGGACACTTCCTATTGGATGTCCAATGGCAGGGTCTTCTCAGGAGCCAGAGGATGACACCGAAGCAAGGGTATACTGGAGGGACTTGGACATTGTGGGTACAGCTGCAGTGCTGGATTAGCAGTCACAAGGGACCTGGACAGCAGAGATCAGGCCCTTGTGAATGAGGACTAGATGTTTTATTCTGATTTTAAGCGATAGCAGCCTGGCTGCACGTGTTTCCTTCTGCACAGTTTGGATTGCCTATCCCCTCTTAGACAATATTTGTTTCTAAATGTAGAAAATAATGCCAAACAGAGCCACATGTATTCCAATCTTAGTGTCCTTTGCATATTATTCCATATCTGTGGAATTCAACATGAAACAACTACAGCTCTTTGCAGGCATTTCCTATAAGAGACTTCTCACCTGCCCCTGTAGTTTTCTGCAGGTAGCCTGTAGTGGGTGGAACCGCTAGGTCCCACCCACAGCTCTGCTGTCAGCATAGACTATGTGCAACACAATGATGAGGTCACTGCTACTTTTACAAAGCAATAACTGGGTTTGCAAAGGCATTTGGTGCACACCGAAACAGGAATATTTTGTTGAGGAACGTTTAGTTCTCGTCCAGAGTTATTCTTTAATTAAGAATTCCAGGTATGAACCAATAGAAGTGTGTATATACCATACCTGGTTGATGCCCCTGGAAGCTGGAAATCATTGAAGCAGGCATCGCTACATCAGTGATCTCCACTTGCTTCCAGATCCCATGCCAAGCGGCTGCCCTGCTGCATTCTGAACACAGGAGGTCAGCTGCACAGAACAGGTGCCATTCAGAGAATGCTTTGCATTTTATCAATGAATACTGTGATTGGACAAGGTATAGAGCATGACCTTATCTCCCTCGCCAAATCAGAGAATCCTTGACGTTCATTCAAAAAGTGCTTAGAAGATACTTTAACAAATATTCACATGCTTAGCCCCAGTGCTAAGTGTTGGTGGTGCTTTAAATGTTTTCGTTTTTATATAGGTCCCTTACCAGATGGTTGGGAGCAGGCCATCACTCAAGAAGGAGAAATCTACTACATAAACCACAAGAACAAGACCACATCATGGCTGGACCCACGGTTAGACCCACGCTTTGGTAAGGAAGTATCTGGTTCTTTGTATGCTCGAAGTGCAGCTATCAGAACTTTTATATACATTCAGCCCTCTTCAAAGTGGGTGCTGTTTGGTTTTTTTTTTTTTGTTTGTATTAAGAGAAGGGTGGTGAGCAATGTGAAATCTTACAATTTTTGGAGCAGTAGACAAGGGAAATCCTCCTAAGGGGACACGGATTCCTGTGATACTTCCCTTCTTGTGTGTCTGGGACAGGTAGTTCGGAGAAATCTTCCCAATAGGATGCAGCCAAATAGAAGGGTTTTGCCCATTCACTCCTCTGTCCAGAACTAAAGAATAATCTTTTGGCTTTATGTACTTTAAAGCGTCATGCACACTAACGATTTTTATAAGCTCCAAAAACTCTGGATGAAAAATGCTAATAGAGTTCTTGTGCCAGCTTGTAGTAGTGTTTTAGGAGCATTAGTGTTTTGTCAGCATTTTTACAGTACATAAAGAAATAAAAGCTAGAAAAATGCTGTTAGGAGCAGTTTGGTAGCATTCAGAAGCGTGTAGGTGTGTTCAGCATGTTTTTCTGCCTGGAAAGCTCCTAAAAATTCTACAAAAATATTTTTTTTTCTGCTCCTAAATGCTGAAGATTGAAAAACGCTTCTATGATAAAATAGTGTGCATGGACACATAGGATAACATTATTGGCTTCTATGAGCAGATAAAAAGATCTCATAAAAGCTTCTAGGAGCCTAAATAAACTAGTGTGCATGAAGTCTAAAGCTGAACGGTAAGCATATAAAATACACACAAATGAATGCAGTTCTGGAATCAAGAATACATCATATATTTTTAAAAGTACAATAAGTGTAAGTACCCAGATATGACCTGCTATCAACCTCTTGCAGTGCCTGTATAGTAGGGCTGGAGTGTGTGAGGAAGAAGCCGCACAAGGAGCCAATCTAAGTGTGTGCAGACAAGCACGATGATAGGAAGAGAAAGCAGACTGACCGACATGAGCTCATTACTGCGCTGCTTCTCCATTCACTGTCCAGTTACAGGCTTGAGAGGGGGGCCCAGGATGATCTGAGCTTGGAAGTGGGTTAAATAAATGCTGACGGTCAGACTGAGGATGTCTAGCAGCAGAAAAAGTACTACAGGCAAAGTCTCTGGATTGAAGCTGATTATTGTAGCAAAAAGGGGATTTTGCCATTTTCATCTTTTAAAAAGCTTTTTCTTTTCTTTTTGCTGGAGTTCAGCTTTACCTTTTCTCCTACCACTAATAATCAGTAGGTCAAATGTACCTGTCTGTGAATTCTCAATGATCCTACAAGTGTCCCGAACTGATGGCGTCAACACAAGCCCAAAGCCATTGACATAGATCTCACTCCAAACATGCAGAAGAATTTCAGGTTTCTGACATATATTGACAGCCATTAGTCTGTGTATTGCTGGGCTGAGCAAGCTCTCCTGTAAATGCACCAGTTACCACTGACGAGTGCCTATAATGATCAGCTTTTATGTGTGGAAAATATTTATTCCACAAGAAAAAAAAAAATTTGCTGTAGCCGCTTATGACGTGTGAGCTGGCGTTTGGCTTCAGTTTGTTGTATTTACATTTTATAGGAAATCTAACCCCCCCCCCCCCCTCAGTGTGTTGCTGGCCAGATGACCATGTGAGAAAAGCCTAAAAAAAAAAAAAAAAACTAATGCAGCCACCACATCGAATGATTGGTAAGCTGCAACATATTACATTTTTTAATTTTATGGCTGCTTTAATTTTGAGTAGAATGTGAACGGATTTGAGTCTGTCAGGTTTTGTTTGTATCTCCCCTAGTGGTAAACCAGCAACAAAAAATAACCTAGTCTGGTTTTAACCCTTTATGCGTTTTATAAAAAAAAAAAACTATGTATAGACATATATTTTTTTTAAAGTGTATTAATTCTTAAAGTAAAGCTACTCAGCCACAAAGTACAATCTGTGTCAGAATCCTCTGACAGAAGCAGCCATTCCCTGACTCTCACAAGATAAGTTGCCAGCTCATGCTTTTAAAGCGGATTTAAACCCTAAAAGGTAGTTAGTGTATGTCAGGGCATTTTTGATGTTAAACATGCTTGTCATTACATATTTTCATGACGGTATGTATGGATTCATAATTCTGTCAACGCAGTCATCCTCTTTGCTGAATGACTTCTCTGAGAAATGGTTACATAGGCTGTCTACAGAATATATTACAATCCGTGTATTATAATGCTGAGCGGAATAATAGAATTACGCCAAGCAGATTAATATGGGCAGCGGTTTGAGGCTTGTGGGGTTTTTTTTTCTTTCTCATTCTAAGGTCCCATGCGCACTGGGCGTTTTCATAACGCTGGTAACGTTAGCGGCGTAAAGCCATGTTAAAAATGAGTTTTTCAGCATTTTTGTATTAGTGTTTAGCTGCGGTTTTTTTGCATTTGCAATTTTTAGTGGGTTTTTTTTTTTTTTTTTTTTTGTAAAAAAAAGTCCAAAAATGCTGGTTTACCATGTTTTTCAGCATTACAGCATTTTTACAGCTAAAAACTCCTCTAGAAACCCACTAGTTCAGGTGTTCCAATCACCTCTATGGCCACAGGTGTATAAAATCAAGTACCTAGGCATGCAGACTGCTTCTACAAACATTTGTGAAAGAATGGGTCACTCTCAGGAGCTCAGTGAATTCAATTGTGGTACTGTGATAGGTTGTCACCTGTGCAATAATACCATCCATGAAACTTCCTTGCTACTAAATATTCCATATTCAACAGTGCGCAGAGCGCTTCATGGAATGGGTTTCCATGGCCAAGTGGCTGCATCCAAGCCTTACATCATCAAGTGCAATGCAAAGTATCGGATGCAGTGGTGTAAAGCACGCCGCCACTGGACTCTAGAGTGATGAATCCCACTTCTCTGTCTGGCAATCTGATGGACGTGTCTGGGTTTGTCGGTTGCTCGGAGAACTGTACTTACCCGACTGCATTGTTCCAAGTGTAAAGTACACATGTACACACACATGTACGTACATGCGTACACACACACACACACACACACACACACACACATGTACACACACATGTACACATACATGTACATACACGCAGACAAATAAAATTACACACAGACACATGTATAATTGTACATGCATACACAAACACACACATGTACATGTACACACACACATGCTATAGCGAGATCTGTCACTGGCTGTGTCCATTGGAAACTGCCAATGACTGATCTATGTACCATGTACATACAGCAGGTCACATGACAAATGTATACAATGGATGGCTTCCTTTCATGCCATCCATTGTTTACAATTGTGCTGCAAGCTGTGATTGGTCACACTGATCCCATGGTACAGACTGAGCCAATGACAGCCCATCTGTGTCATGTGATTTAGCTGTGGCCAGTCACAGCTAATCACAACAAAACAAACTGAATCGAGTTAATTCAGTAAAATGCTTGTTTATAGCAATGAAATTCATTGCTATAAGCAATCACAATTACAAAAAAAAAATACTGATCACTTCCACCAAGTAGTACAATGTTACTATGGTAACATTATATTACTTTGGTCACGGCGGTGATCGAATGCCACCAAAATAAAGCACTATTTGTGTGAATAAAATGATAAAAATTTAGTTTGGGTACAACGTTGCATGACTGCACAATAGTCATTCAAAGTACGGCAGCAGGAAGGGGGGTAAAACTGCCAGGAATTGAAGTGGTTAAAGTGATATTGAACACAAAAAATATATATATAATATATTGTAGCTTGCCAATCTTTAAATGTTATGGCTGTATTAGTTTTCTTTCTTTTTTTTCCTTGCTTTACCTGGTTGATCTGGCCAGTAACACACCTCCAGTGCCTACACTCTGGATGAAGGAGCACGGGGCACAGCAGGCAGTAGTTTTGTCAGTCTGAGGGGAGTGTTGGATGCACAGCAGATTTAGATACACTAACAAATTGAAGCCAAACTCTTTCATAAAGCAGTCAGGGCAAAAATAGTTTTTTTATTTTGAAATAGGTTTTGCATAAATAAATAAAAGCTGATCATTGTAAGCATCCCTGTCAGTGCTAATTGGTTTATTTCAACACTCTAAACTGATACATTTACAGGAGAGCTTGTTCTGTTGAAAAACCAACTTACTGGCTGGATCACCAGGTGACAATTAAAAGAAAGCCTAAACAAGAAAACTAATACAGCCACCACATTTAGGAATTGGTAGGCTGCAATATAATTGCTTTTGGGATTTAATATCACTTTATCAGATCTGACCAGTTGACATGCACTGTAAGGAGCAGTAAAGTCACTGGGCAAAACCAAGCAAGCACAGCCTACATATATACTGAGCCAACTACATGATCACAGATTATCTTAAAGCGGATTTCCACCTAAAAAAAAAAAAAAAAAAAAGTCACCAGCTACAAAACCTGTAGCTGCTGACTTTTAAAATACAACCACTTACCTGTCCCTTGGTCCATTGGTGTCCTCACCACCGCTGGTTTTACCGGCCATCTTCTCTCCCTGGCACCGGCATCTACAGTGTGGGCAGCAGGGTGCCCACTGAGCATGCGCGAGAAGCACTGCGCTTTCTGAATGGTCCCGTAGTCTTCTGGGACCTGTCACGTGTCCCAGAAGACTACGTGAAGGGAGGGAGCGGAAGTGAGAGTTCCCTCTTAGCTACTCCCCTGCTCCCCAAAGGTGCCAATCCTAACTGGGAGAAGGGGACAGGCTTAAAGTGGAACTTCTCCTTTTCGGTGGAGCCCCGCTTTTAAGAACCTTTTTTTTTTAATGTGATCTGCACTGAACGGCTCACATGTGGTCAACCTAAAATAAATTTTGACAACAGTCTCTTTTTTTAATGCTTTGACAGCGTTCTCCTTATCAATTTTCTCTGTGTACAAGTCCAGGGAGTAATGTCGGTTTAGAATGATGTAGACAACCTAGATGGCGTTCCTTTAAAGGTGGAAGGTGCGGGAATCGTATTGATTACACTACCAAAAATCTCTACCT